ATAGGGCCACAGCACAGCATGAGGAGCTCAGCCCTGTTTCCTTCTCAGCATGGCCCGTAGCCCTGTGCTGAGGCAGGCAGCTGGGCTCGGTTTGGAGCCTAAATTTTAGCCCGCTCCTCTGAAAGCCTGAGCAGGCAGCCAAGCACCTTCATAAAGGCAAATCCTGCCCTCGGGCATGTTCCTGGGTCAGTGGGCTGCCCAAATGTTGTCCCGCGTGATTTAGCACAGAGAGATGACAGCCCTGCAGTGTTATTTTGAAGCCGCTGTTGCAGGCTAGGCTAGCCACAAGCCTTACTGGGCTGCTGTTTGCTGCTGGGCTTCAGGAAGATGTCCTCTGTCTGAGCTGGGGTGCAGAAGCTACAGGTTCCTGCCCCTTCTGGTGCTGTGCCGTGGTCCCACTTTCCTGCCTGAGGGTATTTGGCAGGGGGTTTGAGCCTCTCACCCTGCTGGCAGTAGCTACTGGAAAGGTAGGCTTTGTTTGCCAGACCTCCCCACTCACCTGATTTAGCTGAACTTGAAGGGTTTTGCTGGGAGCAGCTTATCTATGCTCCCTGCTTTTTAATTTACTAGAGACAAGGGATCTGGGACCTCTCTGCGCTTTTTGTCTCTCTGCCTCATTTCTGTTCTGCTTGTGTATGTGCTTCAGCTTTTGCTCTGCCAAAGCAGGCTCAAACGCAGGGGCTGCCCTCCCTGCCAAACAGCTGTGTCCGTTAGCGATGCTCACCCTGGGGCTGTGTGCTGGAGCTGGTGTCGGTGCTACCTGGAGGGAAGCTGGGGACATGGCTGCAGTGTTTGGGGAATGGCTCTGCCTAAACTTGAACTCACTACTTGCAGCCAGGCTTTGAGGTGGGATTTTGGCACAATACAGCTCTTGCAACCAAGAGTCCTGGGGCATCTTGTTTACCCATGTGGCTTGATACCAGGAGCTACCAAGGTGCTGTTGCTGGTATCTGCCTTTCCTGTGTCCCTGCGGATCTGCTTTGATCCCAGCTGGGGCAAGCTGGGTTTGCTGTGCCTGTAGGTGCGGCTCCGGAGGTGCTGGGACGGGGCTGTTTGACCAAGGAGGGTTTTGGCCCTGCGCTTATCAGACTGCTCTTTTTGGGAAAGTCTCTGTTGATACAGAGGCTGAAGAGGGTTCAAAAGTTGCTGGAGGACCGAGCTTGCTGCCTGATTTCTAGCCCTGGAGATAAGGAGTGCTGGCAGAGGAGGCAGAGCAAGCCCTGCTACAGGGCTCTCTGGCGCTCTTGGAGCCTGGCAGTCCTGCTTGGGTGTGTCTTGGGCTGCTTTTGGCCAAATTGTGTCTGTAAGAGCAGGGGCGAGGGGGAGATGATGCTGAGAGGACTGGGGATGGGGTTTGCAGGGCCACCACTGGTTTTCCAGGGGAGTCTTGCCTGCGTGGCTGAGAGTTGGGGGGTGCCCCACTGCAGTGAACCTTGGCAGAGCTCCTGCCCAGCTGTTGGTGCAAATGCTTCTGTGAGAGGTGGGGAGACTGAGCTTCCAGAAATCCTGTGATGGGAGGGCCCTGCCACAGGCCAGGCTCAGTCTCCTGGGGCCGCCCGAGGGGAGGACGCTGCGGCCCCCGCCGCGATGTGGGCACAGGAGGCTCTTTGTGCCGCTGGGCAATGATGGTGGGGTTGCCTTGTGACATTTGGGTGCTGCCCCCACTCCAACCTCTGCAGCCACCAGCTTGCTCCTTGTGTAAGCTGTTGTGGGCATATTTGGACTCAAACAAAAAGAGGTACTTCTAGCTGCCAAGTGCCCCCTCAGGGAATATGCTGCCAGCAACGGCTCAGTCCCATTGCTCGACCTCCTTTTGCAGGCATGGGGAGAGAGCTTGGACCTGGCTCTGCTTTATCACCTAATAAATCCCCAGGAGTGCAGCTGCCATATGAGGAGCACATGTGTCTGCAGAAAATACCCTTCTCCCCCGCTGTGCCACAATTAAAAGCCACCTTGTCCTCCACAAACACATCCTGGCCCCAGCAAACATGATGTTGTCCCTTTTGTGGCTGTCTGAACCCCTGCCAAGCTCAAGCCTGCGCTAGTTTTCCATGGTGCATGCAGAATTGGAGCTGTGGCTGGAGGGAACTGGTTTGTGTTGGCTTCTCCTCCCTGGTCCTCACCAGCATCCTCCCTTCGCCCCTGCCAGCTCTAGTGATCGCTTGGGTTCCGGCTGGCTGGGGAGAAACTCCTTCCAACATCAGCTTGCAGGAGGGTGAATGAGGTCTCCAAATCTTCGGGAGATAGATAGAAGTGAGGCTGTCCGCATGGATGCAGCGATGTTCACCCTGGGCATGGCGCTGCTGTTTCATATCCAGGTGCCTGGATATGCGTGATGATGTGTGTGCACAGCGAGCACTTGAGTTTGAAACAAGGTGCCCTCTGTCCCAGATGAATAGGCTTGAGCAAATGCCCACCGAGTGTCCTCCCCAGGGCTGATGACAGGGAGGCCAGTCTGCCAAAACCAACTCATTTTGCCTGTTCTGTGCCTCAACTAACTTGCCTCCTTTCCGTGGCAGCCGAGAAGGTGACTTCTCTGGGGAAGGACTGGCACCGGCCCTGTTTGAGATGTGAAAAATGTAACAAGACACTGACGTCTGGAGGCCATGCAGAGGTGAGGTTTGCTGTCCAGGAGGTCCCTGCCCTCCGCAGCTAGGGGCTGCAGGAGGGCTGAGATGGGAAGAGATGGAGCTGAAGGGTGATCGGGGCTCACACTTTTTCTCTCTCCCCGCAGCATGATGGCAAGCCATACTGCAACCACCCCTGCTATGCCGCCTTATTCGGGCCCAAAGGTAGGGTCCCTGTGGCTGGGGTTCTGGGACAGAGGGGAAGGGGGCTCAGGGCTCTTGTCTCTCAGCAAGGTGCATCCCTCCGTGTGCTCACTGTCCCACGTTGATGCTGACGCTGCTCTGTCTCTCTTCCAGGGTTCGGCCGGGGAGGAGCCGAGAGCCACACGTTCAAGTAAACCTCAGGTTGGTGCCTCCCCTCCGAGCTCCTCTCCTGCCTCTGGCTCTGTGGGCTGGCAGACAGGGAAGGCAGGCGAGCCGCAGTGTCTCTCCGGGACTCCTTGCCCTCGCGCTGGTGCTCGGGAGCAACCGGCTGGGTGCCAGCTCCTCCTCTCTGGCAGCCCCAAGCGACCGTAGCACCCACTTAGTTCCAGCAGCGGACACCAAAGGCTTTTTTGCTTTGTTGGCTGCCAGAAAAGACAGAGTCTGTCCCAGAGCACTGTTGTCGCTGGGATGTCTCTGCTCCCAGCCAAGCCTGACTTCATCCACCCCTCTCTTCCATCCTTCTCCAGGTCTGACCGCCAGGGTTCCCAGCACAGCCTGAAGACAGCACAAGCGCACCACAACAGACAGGCATTTTTTTGTTCTTAATTCACTCTGTACTAGACTAGCATGTTAAAAGCAATAAGTAACTGAGGCTGGGGCTGGTGCGGAGA